TGATGCCATGGCTGCAATGGTGGGCTCAGCTATAGCAAGGATTGTGGGGCTGGTACAGGAGCAGGCAGTGTTTCATTCTGTTGTGCAAAAGGTCAGTATGAGTCAGAGTTGAGTCAACGGCACCTAACAACAACATAAAAAAAATGAAAAAATAAAAAACTCTTCACAACTGGATCAATAAGCAATATCATGATAAATGGAGAAAAGATTGGAGTTGTCGATTATTTTATATTGCTTGGATCCACAAGCAACACCCATGGAAGCAGTAGTCAAGTAATCAGACATCATAATGCACTTGGCAAATCTGTGCAAAAGACTTCTTTAAAGTGTTGAAGAACAAAAATGTCACTTTGAAAACTAAAGTCTGCCTTACCCAAGCCATGGTATTTTTAATAGCCTCATATAAATGTGAAAGCTGGACAACAAATAATGAATGCAAAAGAAGAATTGATGCCTTTTAATTACAGTGTTGATGACATATATTGAAAATACCGTGAACTGTCAGAATATTGAACAAATATGTCCTGGAAGAAGTGGAGCCAAAACGCTCCTTGGAAGAAAGAATGTCCTGACTTCATCTCACCTACTTTTGTCATATCGTCAGAAGGGACTAGGTCCTGGAGAAAGATATCATGCTTCACAAAATGGATGGTCAGAGAAAAAGGAAAGACACTCTACAAGATAGATTGACCCAGTGATTGCAATGATGGGCTCAATCATAGCAAAAGTTGTTCAGGGTGATGCAGAACTGGGCAGTGTTGTGTTCTGTTGTACATAGAGTCGGTATGCATCAGAATCAACTCAAAGGCACCTAACAACAACAACAACAACATCTCCTAAAACAAGAAGGGTGCAGTGAGTTGGCCAGAAATTGCAGAGAAGTTGATCCATGGTGCTGTGGACGTTGACTAATGGAAAAGGAACTAATGGACTAGATCACTCCCCTTCTCATCTTCAGGTTGTTTTGAAAAGCAATAGCTGCATGTGGCCTCCTCTAAAAGGTCCAGTGAGGTCAAGAATTCAGCTATGCTTACTGCCAAATGGTGGACATCTAAATTCCTTGTAGTATTTTATTTATTTATTTATTTTCTTCTCTCTCTCACCTCCCTCCTCTCATTATTGATTCCTTGGGATTGTACTCCCTGAACTAATGTTAGCGCATGAACTTTTGTTGTAGACTCTCTTTTCTGAGGAATTGGGGCAGTTGCAAATACATGCTGCGTGATTTCATTTCAGTAATGTTCAAGAACAGACAAGAGTAAATGAAGCTGTTAGAATTCAGAATAGAATTTGTGTTTATGGGTAAGAAAGGAGGAGTGCCTAGAGAGTCAATCCAAGTGGGTTTTTCGGATGATAAGAAATTCCTTGGCCTTGTTCTTTATGCAGTGTCCACTTTTGATAATTAATTATCACAGCGATGGTGTTTTTGTTTGTTACTTGCTGTCAATTGGACTCTGATTCATGACAACCTTATATGTAACAGAAGAAATGGTGTCCATTCCAGTGACGTCTTCATGGTCACTGGTACGTCTGAGTCCATTGTTGGGGCTCTTCTGTCAATCCACCTCATTGATTGTTTCCTTCATTTCCGTTAGTCTCTACTTTACCAAATATGATGTTCTTTGTCTTTATTAGCTTATTGTCATTTTACTTGTGAATGTGGCTGTCTTTTTCTATCCATGAGGTTATTATTCTCATATGATAATCTTCCCTCTTCCATTTTCTTGTCCTTTGTGTATAATACCCAGACATCAATATTCAATATTTACATATTGTATCTTGTATATTTTCCAAAACATGTTTTTATACGTTTCCTAGATTGTAAAGTACATTTTGCAATGTGGAAAAAAAGAAGGTAGGCTGAATTTTACAACCAAACAACTAAGTATGGTAAACAGACTAATGTTGTTGTTGTTGTTGCTATGTGCTGTTGAGTCGGACCCAACTCATAGCAACCTCTCCTTGGGTTTCCGAGGCAGTATCACTACGGAAGTAGATTGCCCTATCTTCCTTCCAAGGAGTGGCTGGTGGGTTTGAACCACCAGCCTTCTGGTTAGCAGTCAAGTACCTTAGGCACTATGCTACCAGAGCTCCTTCAGCAGTATGGGGAGAATAGAATTATTTAAGTGATGATAATAATAAAGTGTATGTATTTATAACTGAGATAGAGCAGCCTGAAAATAAAATTAGAAACCACCAATTAAAGTTTTATCATTTTGAAAGGAAATGATGAGTTATCATATTTAAAATACACAGAGAGGAGAGGGAAGAACGTCTTGAGATGAATATTGATATAAATAAAAGGAAAACTCCTCTAGGACCTTGTGGTATGGACAATGGCTTCAGGATTCAAGTCTGGCTTAAACACATATTTTTTGTGTATAAAATGCAAACAACAAAATTCACATATGTCAAAAACTGCTATGATTTGAGATCACTTAAAGCAGGCTCTCTCAGAGACAAAAGTTATTATTATCATTATTGTTTTAAACAGACAGAAAAGCCAAAGAGGGTTCAACATGCAGAAGAAGAATGAGGTATTCAAGTCAGAATCAGAATTACATGACGGTGATGGTTATTATCTTGTATTGTGTAAGAGAAGGCACACCTTTAATGACTATCTAATAACTTCAATTTGTACATATGAGGGAATACCCCCATAATTCCCTAAAAATGGATACACCAGATACAATATTTCCACAAAGGCATATGCAAGGGCACAGAGTTCAATGAGGGTTGTAGGCACTAAACTTAACAAGAATCTCGAGGAGATGTGGCCTCTCCCAGGCAGACAAAATTCCTAATGACCATCTAAGATACTGTGGAAACCTACACTAACCTCCTGTGAAAGAACCATTTACATATATGGCTTGATTTGTAGAAGCACAAAAAAACTGCTTTAATCAAATCTACTCTCCATATCCGTTCCCACCCTAACACTCCAATGACCCGCTACAGATCCTGAAACTATACCACTGAACATGCACCATTCAAATTCAATTTCATCTTCTTCACATACCCATTTGAATTCTAATTAAGTGATAGGCCCTGCCATAAATGCTTCAGTATGAGTGGTAATAATGCTTATATTTTAACCCACACTGGGGAAACAATTATAAGCTATGATAAAATCTGAAGGTTTCAGAGTGCATGAAGGAGTGGTGAAACTAAAGGGGAAGGTTCTCCCCTTCACCCCAGCCTCCATCTCTTTTGGTCACTGGACAATTGATTGAAATAGGAAGGGAAAATAATGTCTGGCAAATCCTCAAACACTCTACATTTGCATATGTAGAAATTAACTGAGACTTAAAGAGCTTTGGTGGCATAGTGCCTAAGGCATTTAACTGCTAATCAGAAGGTTGGTGGTTCAAATCCACTAGCCACCCTGCAGAAGGAAAACTGGGCATTCTACTTCCATAAACATATCCTGCCTCCGAAACCCCATTGACTCAATGACAGTGAGTCTGCTTTTTTTTTTTTTTCCTTCATTTCACCTCCTTTCATATCAAATAAATCTTTCTTTTTTTCCTGTAGGTTTCTTGTATTGCCTTATCTTTTCTTATCACTGCCTCCCTACCAAGGGGTTCTGTGGCTATTCTAAGCTGACAGAATGATTCAATTCATGGTAGAAATGACTCTTAGAATGACAGAGAGGGTAGTGAAGTTAGAACTTTCTCATTTCACAGATCAAAAAGCATAAGCCCCAGGATGTAAAATGATTTACTCAAGGTTTCATTACCATTCTGTTTGAAACTACTGGGCACCCAGGATCTCTACGAGTTGAAAATCAATTTCAGGGAGCCTAAAAACAAGAGCAGAAACAATAGCACCCGTATTTGAGACTCAGGGAGGTATGGTTTCATTCCTATTTCTATCAGAGCCCACCAAGCACATCCTGAGTAATGACGAGCTCCAGATCAGATAGGAGAAAATAAACACATGCACATAACTTTCCAAGTTTTATAAGAAGGAGAACCTGCTGACGTCATCCAGTCTCTAATACTTGTGCTCACTGGTGAAAGTGATATACAGGCACCCCTTTTCAGAAGAAAGATTTTGAAGCTTAGGTATTCATTTGTCTCAAACAAGAGGTGAAATTCTCCAGATATGCAAATGTTACTAATTCCCAAACACAGACCAACCAGTTGCCATAGAATTGATTTCAAGTTATGATGATCTCTTGTGTGACCACATTTAACTGTGCTCAATGGGAATTTATTGTTTTGTTGTTGTGAATATACAAAGGAAAATATATATTAATTCAACCATTTCTATATGTACAATCCAATGACATTGATTACATTCTTCTAGTTATGCCACTATCCTCACCCCCCTTTTCTGAGTTCTTCACTCATTAGCATAAACTCACTGCCTCCTAAGATTTCTATGTAATTAGTTGAGTTTCCATTGTCAATTATAGCTCTTAGTTCTTAAAAGAGCATTATGCTCAAGGAAGGTATTGTGTACTAGTTAAGGGTTTTTAATTGCTGACTTTTTAACTGTGGATCACCAGGTCTTTCTTCCAAGGTTCTTCTGAGTGGACTTGAATCTCTAACTCTTTGGTCAGCTGCTGAACATTTAACCTGTTGCTTGACCCAATTTTTTTCAAAATCAGGTTTAATGTTTACACTGGAAAAAAGTTAGCAAACTTTTAGAAACTAATGAATTAAGCTTAAAAAAAAAAAAAAAAAAAAAAGAACCCAGTAAGAGAGATGGAACTCTTGGCTTGATGGATGATTTAGGAATTTGTTTGATCTCTCTGCACTTTGTTTCCTCAGCTGAAGTGAATGCATGGACTGTGGTATGAAGGACGGTGGTCAGAATATATATGTGTTTTAATTTCTCTATGCATGTTTAACAGCTGTTAAGTACCTATTTTTCATTTTCAACTACTGTGATTATCCATTATTGTTACAGTAACAATAATGATGATGTTTGTCCTTTTTATTTTTTGCAGGCAATTTAATAGTCTTCGGAACTTAGCCTCCTGGAATAATTCCATGGAAAAAATTAACAATTTAACTATGTTCATTTTATGGAGCCTTTCTCAGAACCCAAATGTGGAAGAAGTTTCTATTGTGGTGTTTTCTTTCTTCTACACAGCTATTCTTCTGGGAAACCTTCTCATCATACTGACAGTGTGCATGGCAATCTTCTCAAGTCTCCTATGTATTTCTTTCTCAACTATTTGTCTTTGGTAGACATCTGTTTCTCCTCAGTCACAGCTCCGAAGTTGGTTTTTAATCTATTAGTCAAAAGGATAACTATTTCCTATATTGGGTGCATGTTGAAACTCTTTGGGGTACATGTCTTTGGTTCCACTGAGATCTTCATCCTCATTGCAATGACTTATGATCCGTATGTGGCCATCTGTAAACCCTTACACTATATGACCATCATGGACCAGGACAGCTGTAATATAATGTTGCTGGGGACTTGGGTTGGTGGGTTCTTACACTCTGTTATCCAGATGACTTTGGTGGTCCAGCTCCCTTTTTGTGAACCCAATGTGATTGATCACTACTTTTGTGATGTCCACCCTATGCTCAAACTGGCCTGCTCAGACACATATGTTGTTGGTGTTGTTGACACAGCCAATAGTGGAACCGTCTCCCTGGGGGGCTTTATTATCTTGATAATCTCCTACACTGTCATCCTGGTGTCCCTGAGAAAGCAGTCAGCAGAAGGCAGGCGCAAAGCTCTCTCAGCTTGTGGCGCCCATGTTGCTGTGGTCATAATCTTTTTTGGTCCCTGTACTTTCATTTATATGTGCCCTGATACTACTTTTGCTGTGGATAAAATGGTGGCTGTGTTCTACACCATTATCACCCCCATGTTAAACTCCATGATTTATACACTGAGGAATACAGAAGTAAAAAATGCAATGAAGAAAGTGTGGTGTAGGAAGGTATTCTTGCAGGCTAATGACAAGTAATTTGTAATAGTGATATTTTAAGCTGGATGACTTTAATTTCTTGATTAACTCATGTGTACAATGAAGTCAGTAATGCAGACTTTACCGGGCTGTTGGGAGAAATAAATCTTGTTTTTTCCTCCCCATTTTTGCCTATTTTCTTTAAAATATAAAAGTCAATATACTCTTTGGTGCTATGATTGGTACATATCAATCACTCGTTATCATATATTGCATTAAAAAAAAAAAAAAGAGTATAAGAAAAAGAGCTCAGATCCAAGCTAAAGTGTATTGATATATGTTGTTGTTGTTGTTGTGTGCCATTGAGTCGTACCCGACTCATAGCTACCCCGCCTTGGGTTGCCGAGGCAGTATCACTACAGAAGTAGATTGCACTCCTCTTTCCTTCAGAGGAGTGGCTGGTGGGTTTGAACTGCCAGCCTTCTGGTTAGCAGTCAAGTGCCTTAGGCACTATGCTACCAGAGCTCATATGTTGAGTAAGGCCTCTCCAAAACACAAATTATTATGAAAATTAAATCTATAAAGCTTGAAATTAGAGGCAAAATGTGTGAAGCACGGATAAAAAAAGAGAGACAGAAAACACAGGCTTAAAAGACAAAAGACATGTTCTCTTTCTTGGGTCTTGTGGATAAAAAAGTGAAAAAACAACTTTTCTTTTCTATAGGACTCATTTTCTTTGCTCAAGCAATAAGGTTATTGGACCTAATTGATCATATAAAAATTGACCATCTTTTAATTGTAATAGCAGATGCATATGCTGCTAGTTACTGACTCTAATCTATTCCTGAAATCTATAGTTGCAGTCCCTATTCATGTTAAATGACTAACAGAAAAAGCTGAAGAAATGAATGAAACAAAGCCACTTGAGATGAATAGGTGATTGTGGTTTAGTCAACAGAGTAACGGCAATTTTTATTCACTTACCTGTTTCATGCATTTTGCATGGAGCAATATTAGTGAATCCAATGCTTTCTTGGCTTAAATAACAAAAGTTCCATCCATGAATTCCAGAGAAACTCATTCTCTTCAAACAAACAAATGCCTTGCTCGTGGGAACTAATAAGTTGTCCAAGTAATATATTAAATAACTTTATTGTTCACCTTGGGATGCAAAATGGGCCTTTTCTTTTTTCTTTTTTTCCTGTTGTTGGTGAATATATCAAATATATCACTGATTATCTCCCTGCCATCGTTTCACTTTATTTTCCCCCATTCTGATTATCACATCTATTACACATATCCCTTATGCCTGTTTGTGGTTGTAGGATGTGTTGTGTGCACACACATATACATGCGTGCAGACAATTCTCACATTAAGGACCATAAATAATTAGTGTTGGAAAATAGTTGCTTATGCAATCATAGTAATAAAGAGAGGAAAAGTGAAAAAGCAGCAAGACATCTGAGTTTGAAGTTATAATCAAGAAATTCTTGCCCTGTTGTTGTTGTTGTTGTTATTTGCCATCGAGTCGGCCCCAAATCATAGCGACCCCTCCTTGGGTTTCCGAGGCAGTATCACTACAGAAGTAGGATTGCCCAACCTTCCTTCTTGGCCTAGGACCATATAAATCCATGGTGATTGTACCAGTCAGACATATACCCAGTGGATCTCTGTAGCCCACTATTTCATTAATTTTATAAGGACTAGATGAGTGCTTGTCAAACTTGGCTGATCATTAGAGTCAACCTGAGAGTTTTTAAAGAGATAACAGAATTTACTTCAAGAAATTGATATTTGGTAGGTCAGAATTCAGCAGTATACATGCTTAACAAATTCCAGTGGTAATTTGTATGCAGTCAGGAAATTTGTATTTGGATACATTGGGACTAGATGACATTTGAGGCTGTTAGGGCTAAAGAGATTTGGAGGCCAATCAATCCAAAAAGCCTTCTTTTTCATGTATTTCCCCATCTGCTTTGACAGTTATCTCTAAGAGAGCTATAATGCCACTGATTTAGAAAATGATGAAAAAAATAAATGTAATCAATTTGATAAATTTCTTCACAATACTCTTTCCATTATTCCTTAGCAATACATGTTTGGTGACTGAGGGATAATGTTATTAATATTACTTGTACGAGGTCCCTAAGAAAGTAGAAATTGACAGGTTAATAACTTTTAAAGGCCTGGTGGAGGGACATAAATTGTACTCAAATTTCCACAAGTGACATTATCAAGTCACCCCTGTTCCTGAAGTTATGTTAGAGACAGTCCTTACTGGAAGAGTTCAGACAGTGTCCTCTAGGAATGACCAAGAATGATGAGAACTCATATTCTCCCCAGTTTTGATGGGGCAAGGCAGGTCAGAAATAGTATTTTATTCCACAAATGTATTGTCACAACATTTTATGTTCTCTAACAGCTTTATAATCATGTTATCTCAAGATGGGAGATGTGACTTTGATTGGAGACTTCATTGATAAAAACAAGTAATATTTCTTATTTTCCAAATGAGGAAATTGATTTATTTTATTATGGAAAACCATGAAAATATACCTACCTGTAGCTTTTAACCAATGATTATAATTCTGTCTTCTGGAGCAACACAAATTGTTTTGAACACATTTCCATGCCATGCCTATTTGAATACTTAAAATTATCTTTGATGCACCTCTAAACTCTGTCCTTTTTCTCATTTAACAAATGTCTGGTGACATAGTGCCGGAGGCATTTGACTGCTAACCAGAAGGCTGGTGTTTCAAACCAACAAGCCACTCCTTGGAAGGAAGGTTGGGCATCGACTTCCATAGTAATATTGCCTTGGAAAGCCAAGAGGGGTCACTATGAGTTGGATATGACTTGAGGGCACTGATGGAGATTCAAACTTTTCTCACATATTAGGAGCTCCAGAATTTCACTATTTTTGTAGTACATGTGTAGTGATACTTCATATCAATATTTCCAGTTATTTCATAGTGAATAATTTTGAATAAAATCTCACCAAAAAAACAATAAAATAAAACCTCTTTTATGCACAAGAAGAATAGCAGTCACACAGGTAATATGTGAAGCCTAACTGAAAAAAAAAAAAAAGAGAAGTCAGAGGGACATCAGAGCAGAGTAGCACCAGGGATCCAGGTAAGGGGAGGATGGAGATGTTCTGAATGGTTAAGAAAGACAAACCTGTCTGTCAGTTTTCCTACTGTGGTGGCTTATATGTTGCTGAGAGGCTTGATTCTGTGCCACTGCTCTTTCAACTGCTAGCAGTATTGCACATGGTGCACAGGTTTCAGCACAGGTTAAAGACTGAGACAGGTGAGGACTAAGGAAGAGACCATCCACATCTCAAACAATTGGCCAGGAAAACCTTGTGAATAGCAGAGAAACACTGTCTGATAGATCTCTGCACAACACAGTGAACAGCCTGAAAATATTGTCTGATATAGTGAAGGAGGATGAGCCCCTCAGGTAAGAAGGCTCTCAAAATATGACTGGGAAAGAGCTCCACCCTCAGAGTAGAACCAACCTTATTGATAGGGATAAAATAAAGTTTTTGGGACCTCCATTTGCTGATGTGGCATAATTCAAATTGAAGAGAAACAGCTACAAGCATTCATTAATAATCACAACATGGAATGTACAAAGTATGGACCTGGAAAATTGGAAGTTGTCAAAAATGCAATGGAATGAATAAATTTTGATATCTTAGGCATTAGTGAGCTGGAATGGACTGGTTTGGGCCATTTAGAATCATGTAACCATATGATCTACTATGCCAGGAATGACAATTTGAAGAGGAATGATGTGGCATTCATCATCACAAAGGATGTTTCAAGATGTATCCTTAAGTGCAATGCTGTCAGGGATAGGATAATGTCCATATTCCTACAAAGAAGACCAGTTGATACTAATATTATTCAAATTATGCACCAACCACCAAAGCCAACATGAGGAATTTGAAGATTTTTATCAACTTCTGCAGTCTGAAATTGACTGTGCAATCAAGATGTGTTAATTATCACTGGTGATTGCAATGCAAAAGTTGGAAACAAAGAAGTATCACTGGTTGGTGTTGTTGTTGTTAAGTGCTGT